TATGGCGACATCTATCAGAAATCGATGGAAGTTATTGACTCTACCATCGATTTTCCAATAGGATCTTATTACCTGTAAACTCCTATAAGATTAATTAAATTTTTATTGAATTGATATTCAATTCTTTTTTGTGAAATTACTCCACTAGTTTGTTATAATTATTAATATAAATAAGATTTTTTCACCTATAAGATTAAAATTTTATATATAAGATTAAAACTTAGAAGGTGAAAAAATCCTATAAGATTTTTTCACCTTCTAAGGCTCGAGGATGTACACAGCCTTTAAAAAGAAAATGACTTCAGTATTTTGTATAGTGTATGCTGCATAATACTGATAATTAGTACTTTTTATATATGACTAATCGCAACATTATTAGTACTCATTTGTAAAACGGCCACTGAAGTTAGAAATTACACAAGAAAGGACCCGTCATAATCTCAAAAATAACACGTACATGTACGTACTACAATGTCTCCCGCGATAACAATTTCTTTATTAAAATATTGTACATTATGAGAAGCTTTGAGGTTAAAACTTTAAAATAGTTCCGCTACTCGACAGCAGATGGCGCTAGTAGTAAAGTAAAGTCACTATGGCCGTCTTGGTTAGAGAGGGAGAGATATCTGTGAATGTGTTGTGTAATCTATTGTGTATGTCTGTATTAGAACACCGTCTGTGATTCAACTTTACTTTGTAGTGAAAAAGCGTTTGTTGATATTATTTCAGTAAGTGACGATTGACCATTAGTTCGTTGTTAGTTAAAAGTAAAATATTATATTTCGTTAGAACCTTATACATATAGATAACTCATACCTGTCTATTGGTTGTGTGTTGATTTCATCTCATTTTCTATTTTGTAATTCTTTTTAAATATTTGTAATGTTTTGTCTATAATTTCTAACTTTTCACATCTAAGTTAAGGTTGCGTTAGTCGTACCACCGACTAAGTCGTACTCCAGCGATATCTGGTCTCACATGCGTGGGAAGTCATATCTAGTAATATAAATTAGAACTATTTAAGCGAGTAGACAAAAACAAACCGGTAGCTGGCCGACGTTCGTGTTGGGAATAATATGAAAAACTAAGATTTTGCACTGTTTATCATTTTTCAAATTTATCATTCATTCGGAAGCTATTCCAAGGAGCAATATGGTGGTAAACTTATTTTTTTGGTATTCGTCTATTTTTAATTTAAGCACAAGCAAACGGCAAATCTTTTTATGTTATAACAGTAATTTTGATTTGAAATTTTGAAAGTGTCGTTGCTTATGTCGTACCCGTGGAAAATTCCTTAATCATACCGGTACGACCATTGACTTACAATTATATGGACGTCGGGTCCGCGCTAAAAAGTGTCCGAACGTATAGGGCGTTAAAATCGTATACAGAGCGTCATTCACGCTTTAGTCTTCGTTTGTTCGACTGACAGCGAAGCAAGCAAAATTAGACAGTACTGCGATGACATTACATTTTAAATTCAACGTTTTAGCTTTTTCATATTCCTTTACATGTCACTACGTTTAAATAGGTTGACTTGGGACATTTTTTTCGTGGTTTTTGTATTAGACCCGTCGTCCATTTATTTGTAAGTCAATGGGTACGACTTAGGAATTTATGAAAAATATTTCTTAGTTTTATCAGCTAAATAATAAATTTGTGATATATATGTGTTCAACAAAACTAATTTTGTAGTGCCTTTATTATATAATATACCTTTATTTGATTACCGCAGCGTATTAATTTTATTTCATTAGAATTTGTAAGTTCATTGCTGGAAAATTTTAATTTTATTTAATTAAAATTTATAATTTTATTTCAGAAACATTTACTTATAATTTTATTTCATTACAATGTATAATTTTATTTCAGAAGAAATTATAATTTTATTTCATTACAATTCATAATTCTATTTCTTAAGAGTTTAAAATTTTTGTTCTCTGTGTTCCCTACACAAGAGATTTTGAGATTGTTCTCTCCCTTCAAAAATATTAAGAACTATTTGATTTTAACTACCTTAGACCTTAGTACCTGTTTCTAGATTTTAATCGTTATGTACGTTTATGATTTTTTATTAGTACTGTATTATACAGTTTATGATGTCCTGACTGAAGTGTTACTCTACCTACGACTTAGGTTATCGGTGGCACAAATTAGGCGACTAGGTGCCTAAATCGGACCAAAGGTGCTTTTTGAAAATCTTGTCAGTACCTGACTCAATAAACGTTTTTGGTATTTTCATTAAAACACATTGATAGTAAAATAAATAAAGATCCTGTAGACGCTGAAAGTTTTTTAAATTTAAATAACCTTAATTATTACAGCGGTTTTTTTCTTAGGGAGTACGACTAACGCAACCTTACCCAATTTTTTTTTATATTTCATTAAATTGATTTTACTTGAAAGAAAAGCAAAGAAAATTTTAATTGACGACCAGGGCCACCTTACGGTTTGCGCTGTGGGTGCTGCATGAGGAGGTCACGGGTACATTCCTTCCCGGCAGGACCAATTTTGATCAAGAACTTTTCTAAATTGCTTCTGGTGTTGTTGTTGCTTTGGTACTTATAGTACAGGGAATTCCTTAGTTTGAGATCAGTGCCTCAACCCCGAGTATACTGTGATAGTTGTCGCTACCGATCGCGTAAATTACTTCACAATTTTTGTATGGCAAATTATACAGCGCCTCTGGCAGTCACAAGAAGAAACAGCATTTTATATACGAAGATTTTACGCGGTCGCCAGCGATAACTGTCACTCATGGTAGAGGCTATCTTCACCAATATTATCTAATTGTTAAATTTCTGTCCTAAGCTTGCCTGGAAAAAATTGCTGGCTTGCAGGCCGCCTGTTGGTCATTAACTTATTCTACACGTTAACAGTTCAGTGTTGTCATTCTTTTTTGTTGTAATTTTTAATGTGCATTTAAGAATATTTCATTCATTCATATTATATTATATTATTAGAGTCACTACATAGTGCTTTAGCGGCTTGTTTGTCTGCCATGTTGTTGCAACACGGTTTTCATTGAGTTTTCGTCGACTGGCGTAAAGCGCAGGACACACCGCGAGGGAAGCTAAGCTAAGTTAGCTTCAGCTCACGTAGCCGCGGCATGTTTTCATATATCTGCTCACACCGCGAACTAAGCTAACCGAGTTAAGTCGCATAGTTGGTTGCATGCAGCTATGTGAGCTTATCTAACTTAGCTTAGTTTCGCTCGCGGTGTGGCTTGCGCTTATGTGTTTTTAGCCATGTTTTCCTTTGCATCACACACAAGTTTAAAATTGTAATGAATCTAACTCTGAGGTATATATATAACATAGATAACTATAAGCATTAGACTTTGCGTGTAATATGTACGGGCAAAAATTTTATATTTCTTTCATCTAACCGACATAGGTATTAGTTTAATATATTAATAAATATTAGACAACATTACGTTAGTTGTTCTGAACCCAAAGTAAGTAACTAAAGCACTTGTTTTATAGAAATCGGAAACACCGAGGGTACCACAAACACCCAGACCCGAGACAATATAGAAAAGTTAGTTTGTTCTGCATGGATCAATGTGTCCGGGAATCGAGTCCGAGATCTCAGAGATGACGATACCATAAAAGCCGGTGCGCAAGCTGCTTGAGGTCGTCAAATAGGTTAGGTAATAGGTAATCTGAGGGTACCAATTTTATTTAGACATCAAGTATAAGATCTCCGCACTAATTGATATTCATTTACCACGAATTTTGGGGTAAAATTAAACAACATAACTGATTAACAAATCGTGGATATTTATTGAAATAAAAATAATAAAAAATGAAAAATAATAAAAACAGTTTATCTTTCACATAGTTACACAATAAAATTTGTCTTAGTTTTTTTTTGTTGCGTTATTTTGTCTCCATTCGTCATCCTTCGCAGTTGTTCATAGAGTGTATTTTTATTTACAGCATAGTACAGAAATGTTGCTATTATAGGCAGAAGTAAACATTGCATTTGTTTTAATAGTCTTATTCCGTCCTATTTACATTTTGTATTAGTCCATCGCCAAACCATATACGTCTTAATGTTAAACGTGGTACTCAGTAGGCATAGCACTCGGTAGCCTTGGTGCTCGGTAGGTGTTGTTGATGCTGTTATACCACAGTCCACCACGTTCGCATAGCATATGTAAGTACCTAAACATCGCAATTACTTTATCAGTTTTATAACCATGTAGTTAGCTCTTTAAATAATATTAATGTAACAAAACGAAATCCGCCAAATTAAAATAATTACCTATCTATTTACTGGCCAAAGAAGTAAACGTAATACATAATTATTCTTTACTTTTTTATATACTTAGAACAATTTATGAATATACTTTGGAAATGAAACTACATTTTCGGATTTAAATCGCGTATATCTGTTTTTTTAAAACAAGCCAGTCAGCCGTGACTAAGGCACCTACCTGTAAAGGGCCCGAAACGTTGGTTTGTTTGAAAAAACAGATATACGCGATTTAGATCAGAATAAATAGTTTAATTTCCTATGTGTAACAATCGCGAAAACTTAAAGAATTCTATAAATATTAATATGCTTTCAAAAAATAATTAAGAAACCTTTTCATGCGTTTCAAAATTACTTTTTGACTCTTTGTGAAGTTTTTGTTATAGGCTTTGTCCACACAGTGTAATTGTGTTGGTAATACATAGTCTGAAGAAAGCCTAATTTGTAAAAAGAAATCGTAGGAGATCGAGACAGGAGACAAAATGTTTCTATCATAATTTATACTTACAATTATCTAATATAATTTCTAATATAATTTACATTAAGTACGTATACTGAAAGATTTCACACTTGGACTAATTAGGTACGAGTGAAAGGTCTTCCACGAATCACAATAAAACATATAATTTAAAAACAAAACTGGAATTGTTTTTCAGTCTTAATAAAAATAACTAGCTCTTGTTTGTGAGAAACAAAAGCAAACCCCAAGATCTAATACAGAAGGTAATTTTAAATTTAAACACTTAATTTAATATAGAAATACTTCGATACGAATAACACCTACTCTTAAAATCGATTCCAATTTTGCTTTATATAATGCTTAAATTTTATCGATTACAGGAAACTCACCGTGTTTTTTCAAAATTTTGTTTAGTTCAATTTTTATTAATTTGCGAAACATGTCCTCTATAAATATGAACATCAATAGGTAGGTACTCGATTTAAACATTACACTTAATATCAACTTATGTACACAAATATTGTTATTTATCTAGGATAGGAAACATTTGCTTATTATTGTACAGAAATACCCTAACGTTACCGAACAACTTACTCCAAAAACACATACTACGACGAAACTATTAAGATCCTAGGAAAATACTGGAAATCTATAAGTAATTGACACTATACAGCTTAAAAACTAAATCATATTCTTAAATCAACATAGCTAACTTTGGCATTGGTTTCCACATTTTTCTATAAACAAAAACATGTTAAAACAAGATCGAAGAATTTAACGTAAAGGTCAAAAGCCTTTAAAAATTAAACAAGCCCTCGAAAGTAACACTATAACAACACAACGGAAATCGTTTAACACTGGTTTGTACACGAAAGATATGTCACTTAAGATATAATAATTAAGTTAATGCCCGTCGGTTCAGACAGCTGTGGGGCTAATATTGCAAATAAGTTCATCATAAAATATCGCCAACCAACCCAATTCTTAAGACTAGAGATTGATCAAAGGTGACCTTGAAATGTCTCAAAGCAAAACTTTTGCTGTTTGCGAATTGAATGAAGCGCAACAAAACCAGTAATTCTGAGAGTTAGGCCTTAGAAGATCTGACTTGGCGGCGCAGGTGGTGGCAGGCGGAGGCCACCCCACGGGTAGAGTCACGAGGCCTCATCACGGCACACATTAGAGTCATCGGATAACGCTAGAGGAGCACCGTTACTTTGATTCACAACACATTTGCGCATGTGCTTCTCTAGCGTTGACGGCACTGAGAAGGGCATTTCACAGAACCTGCAACGGTATACGTCTTTTCCCATTCGACCGTGCGTCTTCATATGCCTCGTTAACTTCGAACTCTGCGCACATGCATATGAGCATAACTCACATTTATAAGGTTTTTCTCCAGTATGTGAGCGTCGATGTACTGTCAAATTTGAGCAGTTTTTGAAAACTTTTCCGCAGTATTCACATGTGTCATTCCTGCGGCCTTCTGATTTTGTTTTTAGAAGAGGATTTTGAAGTAATCCATTGCTACTGCTTTTTAGGCCCTCGAATATGTTTTCGGGTGGTCTCTGAGCATGCAATGTAGGAAGCCACCACCCTTCGCCTCGTTCCATGTCTAACTTCATACGTTTGGATGCTTCAAAAGGATTTTCAAAAGGGTTGAAGAGTGGATGTGGCTGCGGTGGCATCTTCGCAAATTCCTCCTTCAAGCGCAATGCAGCAGTAGGGGGCATTCCATTTGGCTTATCACTGTGAGGACCGTTATTGTTATCGCGATCTTTATCTAGTTGCCAGTTGAGAGATTTTCCGGATTCTTGTAGAGCTTGCTTGAAAGCCTCACTATATTGAGCGATATTCGATAAACCAAACTTGTCCATAAGTTCACCGACAACTGAAGCTGTGGGTGGATGCGCTGGCATAGATGGCATTTGTTTTCGAGTTGGCGCTGAAGGCGCACTGCTGTTTGAGACGGTTAAATCCTCAGCCTCTTCTACTTCTTCTCCGTCTTCATTTTCTTCGTCTTCCTCACCGTCAATCTCCTCATCATCCAATTCCTCATCAGAATCATCGTCAGGAGTATCACCTCCTGACTCACCATCGTCCCCATTTGCATCAGGGGCTCGATGAATTTTCATATGCCGTTTTAATTTTGAAGCTTTCTCGAAAGCTTCGTCACATTCAGTGCATTTGAACGGCTTTTCGCCGGTATGTGAACGGCGATGTACCATCAAGTTGTTTTCGAATCTAAATTTTTTGCCACAAAATTCACAGGTGTGAACCGTTTCCTCTTGGTTGCGTTTTGCCGGAGGTGTCGACGATGGTCGCTCTGGAGGCGGCGCGTCAGCAGGCATCGGTTCCGTGCGACGCTCGGGTGGAGTCGAGCTGTGAGGCCTCGTGGCTTCACGTGGCGTGTCCACCGTTCCGGGTCCGGCGCCCGCCGGTGGAGTCTGACCGACTCGGGAGGGCGACGGGGAAGCGAACGGAGGCGAATGCTTCCTGGGGCTAGGAGAGCTCGAATTGCCTGTGGCCGCCCCTGGACTGGTCGTACCGGCCAGTTGCCGCAAGCGCTGCGAGTAAAAATCCAGCTGTGGTTCCAAAGAAAGGGGTTGTGATACAGGTGGTCTCTCACGACCGGAGACCGACGTAGGTATTACGGGGGGTCGTTCCGCAGGAGAAGGGAATGTTTGATGGGGAGGAAGAGAGTTAGCTGCTACAGCGGCAGCTGCAGCAGCAAGATTTAGGCCATGGTGCCGAAACTGTTCAGATACTAGTTGCTCCATTCTGAATCGGTGATCATGGTGATTTGGCCTAGCAAACAGTGGAGCAGGAGGAACTGACGGGTGGGCGAGAGGAGGCAAGCTGCCTGGTAGTGGCATTCTCAGCAAGCTGCCAACGCCAAATGGGGAATGTATATCCGGTGGGGGTAGAAGAGGATGATGGCGCAATGACGGTGGTGGTAACGGTGCGCCAGTGGACGATGATGCGGAGCTAGTGGAGGAAGTGCTCGACGAAGAGTGATTTTGCTTATTAGATTGCGGCTGCGGTAGGGCCTCTACGTAGATTTTGATACCATGTACATGCTGAACGTGCTGCAATAATCTCCACGCAGAATGAACGCGAGCTTTGCATGTTGAGCAGACGTAGTTGCTCGGTTCTGTGAACAAAAGGAAAAGCATTTAATGTTAGCGCCAAAACGGAACTTTACAAGGGATAAAGTTGGGAAGATGGAAACGCTTTCCGATGGAAGATTTACAGCAATATTAACACGGGCAAAGTGTCTAGTAATAGCTCTCACATATCGTAGTGTTGGGCCTAGGGCGGGTGCGTGGGCCGCATGCCAAGCAGGCGAAGGTCCAAGGGTACGGTGCGGTGCGGTGAGTGATCGCCCTTCCGTGTCCCGCGTGATTCATGCACCTCTAAAATCTTATGAAATATACGCGGGTTGGGATCACGTACGCACGCGCGGGTTAAGACTGTTGATATTGAAATGCGTGTACCTATGTAATACTACAGCTACGGCTACTTCAGAAAAATGGATTGCCACATTTTTTTATTGATATGAAATTTATGAGCAAACTATGAATAAACGGACAAGAGTGTAACTTTGGCATTTTTATCTGATTTTGAACAAGTCTTTTTTAAGGCGTGTCTAAATACAAGTACACCGCTTTAAAGTGTTGTTGATAAGATAAAGAGAATATAATAATTATGTCTTTGATGTTAACCTACGCTACCGGAGTTTCCATAGCAACAATTATAAAATATTGTATTTACAAATGTATCCTATATATAATGCATCACATAGGATAGCCGTACCTAACCTCCAAAAATAATGAACCCACTTGGTCAGTGCGCATTTCGATCTGCACCAGTTGGTCCGTATGGTTTTGACAGCAATTTGATTGCTCATTGTGAGTCGAGACAAATTTTATTGTTGAGACAATCGCGTTCGATCGATCTCGTATGTAGTGTCGTATCGATATTTTAATTTTTATCGAATAAATCTGATATGTATTTTAGTTCGTGTCTCACTCGTGTTCTTGTGCAAATAGAGCGTGTTGAGACTGCATCTAAAAATATCTCCTATCTACCGATTACCATCACTTTTTTCCACAGTGTCAAATCTTTATTACTTACGTATGAAGAATATAATTGTCTTTTGACTGTCAGTGTTTTTTTAAATGTGCTGAATAGAATTGTATATGTATTTATAACTTTTAATCATCATCATTTTATCTGACATAATATATTTAAGCTTGTAAATGGTTCCGAATAAACAAAAAAACGTCATTTAAAACTTAGGAAGCACGGCTAAGAAAAGCTTTTCCTTTCACAATTCCATATCTTATAACACAAACATCGGCATTTATTTTGAATATTCTTTACAAAATACCTAAAATAACACAACGAAAAACCAATTCAAATATAAATCTTCCATTATATTGCTACTTTTTTACATAAAGTGGTTCTACTAGATCATAGATTTATAAAAAAATTGTTTTTTTTTATACATTTTTATACGTCGATTTTATACCGCATCACTACAACTAGGTGCGGCTCGATAAGCGATCTCGACTACTAAGACGATTATTGAAATGTAACGGTCAAATTGTGACCGACCGGAAAGAAGATGCACACAGAGTGCTCAAAAATATTATACACTAGTTTTACAAGGCACAAAATATACAGTATTTTGTTTATAAATTCTTACAATAATTACATAGTACGGGGTCAAGAGCAAGTCAAGTCTCATTAGGTATGTAAAATCTAAATTAAACTCTATGCAGCTCACGATATGGATGATAAATAAATTGAAAATTGTAACGGATATAATGCATAACCGTAATTTGTAATAAAGTGGTATGAAATAATATTATGAAATTAACACTGATATTCAATGTAAAAAATACCTCATACGTTGTCAGAGAGATTTTTCTTGTCATAATGATAAATTAATTGTCAATTTATTCATAAAAATTAAGTAAGTTGCTTAACTACTTCGTGAACTCAGCGAAGATTAACGGTGCAAAATAACTACGCTTACGTTGAACATTTTTTCATGTAGTTTAATTTTACCACTCTTACACCGTATACAATTAATAAAATAAATTAAAAATATTTATACTTCTTTTCTTTATTGCTATATAGTATTATTACATAGGCAATGGGCACCAGGGGAATAATAAGACGGTTAAAAACAATGCGACGAAGTCGTTTGAAGACGGATTAGAAGGAAATTATTACTATTTTTTAAAATAATTTGTTTTAATTGAAATGTATCATATAAACACCCTGTACCTGTAATCTTGGTATCAATATTTTGACCTTTTTGTCCAGAGCATTGTTCATTGTATTGCGTTTTGGTCATCATACTGTACAGATCGCAAAAAAACGTTTATCGGTAAGTTGTAGTTATCTTTGTCATATTAATTCTTAGTAGGCGTATAGGCGTATGTAGATATTTAGTAAAAAATAATGTATACAGTCTACAATTCTATTTCTTAAGCTGTCTAATTTTACACAGAAAGAATTTACTTTTAATTCTTTTTTTTATTTAATGTTTTAATAAATATTCACAATTACCATAAATAGATATCATAAACGGTTGTTATCGTTTCGAGAACAACCAGAAACTTCTTAACATCAATAAAAATGCATGCAATTTTGTGTTAAACTTTGTAGCTTTCGGCAATTTGCTTTCTCAAAGGAACCGAATTTTCAGGTGCTTTACAGGTTCCACGGTCCTATGGCTGACTATGTATATATATATATAATGTAAGATAGTTTCATTTCCGAAGTGTAGCAATCTCGCAAAACTAAACTCAAGAACTCGATTTGTACCTCTCCTTTTTTCTGATCATACATATTACTCTCGCATGTCGTGTAAGTAGGGTCACCAGACAAACTCAGTAGCTTAAGATTGATAGCTTACAGCTTGTAATTTGAGTCGGTTGATCATATTCTGATGATAACATCTGATCTGATCTGGTCAGTATGTATTCAACTTTATATGTAGCAATACAGTGTGCCGTTAAAAAATAACGAAATAATATCGGTTGCTAAAACAAAGTTCTTTTCCTCTTAATTTTGGAACAATTTCAATACCTATATAGCAAATGCCAAAAACGAATTAGCTATGGGAGATGTCAAAATAACAAAATACTATTGGTTGCTGATATAGTTCTACTCCGCCCAGCTTTGGAACGTAATGACCTTAGTGGATTATCACACTCAATTGCGACAATTGTAATTACATTGCAAATACAAATATAAGATTTTGATTGAATTATCATAACTGGCCATTGTATTTATAATAATCTTAATCTTACTGTTCACGATGGAATGAAATTGCGACCACGTATTTTCATTCGAGTTTTTACGCCACAATTATCAAATTGGAATTATCAACTCAAGTAAACGCTATGTATGTCTCGATGTTTTATGTAATAATCGCAAAGTAATATAAGGTTTTCCTTTTTGTCATAGGTAATGGTCATTGGAATGTCCTTCCGGGAATATTCGTGTAATGTTGATAATGTATAATACTTTCTAGTCTGTTAAACAACCGCAAGCCAAAACAAAGTATGAATTTCATAACGCCAAAAACATGGACGGTTAAATTTACAATTTAAGTAGATAGATCGAAAGGATTAAAAATATAATAAATAGAGTTGTAACAATTTCAGCGGTTACAAATCGACTTCAAAGAAAAAAGTATCCTTAAATTTTCATCCGGTATTAAATTGGTAATGGCGATAATTAAAGTAGGTAACGTGGGTCGCGCGCGGGTGGTCGGCTTAAACGGTAGTTATGCTTAGCCTATTTCAACTATTCATTTTGTGTGAGTAGTTCGATACATATCGGTATCGGTTGACACTTTTGAATGACTCGACTTGTTGGTTTAAAGTATTATGATTATTATTAACTCTTTTTAATATCCAAAATAGCTACCTTCCATCCGTAAAGATTTTTGCAAGAAAATGAATGTTCTTGATATTTTGCTCATTGATATTAAAATTTATGGTGATTTGGAAATTGAAGCACACAAATATAATGTGAAGTTTCCAGAACTGTTACATATAAAGTACAATTTTCATATCAGTTATCCAAAATTTTCCAGATTTAATGCTACAGTCATTGAAAAAACAAAAGAATGAAACTACAGTTTCGATTTCAAAGGGCAATCGCTGATTAGCGGGCATTGTGTGGGCTGAGCGCCGGCCCGGTGGGGGTGAAATTTTTAAACACCACCCGTCTGGGTTACACTGTTTCCCCACAGCTCCGGTGGGGGCGGTTAAGGCCGGGGCATCCGGCCGTATTTGCTTCTTGGACAGTAAGCATTAAAAGGTATCAATGTGAAGTGCTTGGTGTCTAGAGTGAGAACGTTTCGAATAGAAAATGTGATCAAATAATTTTGAACACTGACATCTAAATTTATATTTGTGTTAATAAGGATTTCATTAAAGAGAAAATTTTCGTACTAAAAAATTTAATTTTTCGTTATATATTATTTTCGTTATTATCATATAAATGTGCAAAGTACCTTTAATAAGTTTTAATGTGAGTTTAAAAATAAGATATGTGCCTTTGAATATGCAAACTACTCTTATTAACTGACTTCAAAAAATGAGGAGGTTCTCAATTCGACTATGTTTTTTTTTCGTATGTATGTTGCGCGATAACTCCGGTATTTGTGAACCGATTTTCATGATTCTTTTTTTGTTGGAAAGAAGGTACCTCCATAGTGGTCCCATTTCATTTTGAAGAAAATCATCTACCTCTAAGGGTGGCTGAAGAACATTCATCATGAACATTTATTTTAATAAAAAGCGCCTAAATTTTACTTAAAGAGCAATTATTTTAATGGTTGGTTTTTTATTCTCCAATTCAATGCGTTTTTCTCCCTTAATAAACTTTGAGTAGTGAGAACCGATTTTTATTATCTCCTGTGTCAAGTCCTGTATAGTGGCAAACTAGGGGATATTTCAATAAAACTTGGCAAATACATGTAATTCCACATACTTTTGAGGTCGATTTTTTTAGTACTCTGTACTAAGATTATTTTGAATTCATGATTTACATCAGTGGGGCTCATATAATAAAAATAAACAGCCATAGCCATGAAACTGTAAAACTATGTCAGTATAGAACATT